TGGAAAATATTGTATTATGTTATTTTCATTATATACAATTTTATAAAGAAAATTTCAATCAAATAGGTAATACTATAATTTATAGTTGGATGATATTTTAAATTTTAATATTAAAAAGGTTTCTAATTTTTATAAGTTTATCAGTTATTGGTTATTTATCACAAAATTTTCAGGAACGAATCATTAATTTAATATACGAAATAAATTATTTTACGAAATCAGTCAAGTTTGTATGTATGTATACAAGTAATGTTTTTTGTATATCTTAACACAGAAACTAAAAACCAACAGACATTTCTTAAAATACGAGTAATAGTGTAGTATAGTATAGTGAAGTATTACAATATTCATATTTATAGAACAATGTGACAGACAAATAAAAACAATTTAAATTTAACTGTGAAGCTGTAATATAAAAATTATTTTAATTTTACTGTAACTACTTACTTTAATCGAATAATGAATCATACATTAATGGAATTGCACGAAGATCGTAATAATTATTCCATGCAAATTTTATGTTTTTCGCATTTTATAAATTCAGTAGTATGAACTATTATTTATACGAATAGGTATATTATGAAACGATTTTTATTTTATTGACTATCGCATTGCACCAATTATTATTCTACCTTCGATAGCTTGGCACACTAAATCTTAAAAAATTAACATCAAGATACAATATAAATAACATTATATATTTAAATAGGTCAAATAATATGCTAAACTTTAACTGTATTGAGAAAACTTAAGATAAGTTATAAGAGTACGTTTAAATTATAGCTATTTTATAAGTTAATATGAATTATATTTATTTTATATCTTTTTAATTTCCAAACTTTTATTTAGAATTGTTCAGAATTGCTTTTGTATAAGTATTTTAATCATAGAATTGTATTACAAATATTTATTTAATTATTAATTATAATATTAGACTTGGCGTGAGTCCTTATTAAATTTGATTAAATTCAATAACGTTAATTCCTAAGAGCATGAGGAAATCAAACACAACGATCTCCTTCAAAAATTATAATTTTAAAATTCTAAGATGAGTGATAAAATAAGTCATATACTTATATACATAAAAACATTTTATTAATATAAAGAGGTTTGTTGTATGTCAGTCCAGCTGTGTTTATAAATCAGAATCTTTTGATCTAAATTTGTTTACAGGGGCTTATATTTAATGACATATAATACCTTTATCATGTTAATTAACATAATATAATTCAAAAACAAATGTATGCTTTCTATTCAAGAGTATTTTTAAATTATACACATTCAAAAATGAAATGTTTTGTATCACAAAAGTTACTGAAAATGTAAAATTTAATTAAAATTTTCTATTTTTACTATCATAGTTTTATAAACATTTAATATCCAAAATAAATTTTCCCGTGAAAAATTATATGATTTTAATTATACTTATAGTACTTATAGTATTCGAGGAGGATTTCCATTTAGGAACAATTTAGTGTATAATTTTTAATTTTTAATTACATATACTTAAAAAACAAACGAATTAATAACTATGAATTTGAGTTTTCATTAAAATCCTAAGCAATATCAGAGCACATTTTATGGGCTCAATTTTTTTATTAATTAAATTGATGTTTATTACGTCCAGAATAACAATAGTTAACTTATTCCAATCCATTGCTTATCCCTAGAACTTTTCATGTTTAATAACTCAGTAAATTATAATAAATAATCGCATATCAAAATTTACATTCTGGAAGGCTATGGTTTGAAAAGTAAAAAACTATTGCAAAATTCATAGTAGAAGAATAATGACCATGGTGAATATACCGAAAGGATCTCGGTTGCCCGGGTACTGTTGAAAAAAATTCTACAGCAGTTTGTCGCCTAAAAGAAACAAAAAAAACAAAAATGAAAATACGGTCGAAAAACAAGTGCGACTAAAGTCGCAAGAAAACTTTTGATTACCAGCCATTGTTGCTCAGGTAAAATCTTTTGGTCCATTGGATCAACGAAATCCGTCGACAATACCATTTTCGTACTGTTGAAGTCAATATACCAGGGTTAACGTTCGTTTCATTATATATGATGTGTGTATGTGTTTTTTCGAACGGCATAAAAAACTAACTGAATAAATGACGAAAAACTTTTAGCAACAAAAATGTTTAAACGAAAAATCAGAATCACAGTAAATCTATGTGTGTGATATAGAAGGATGGATTGAGCAAATACAGACGATGAATCCTGAAGCAATCCATAAGAAGCTTTAAAATATGAAGATAATATTTTAAAATTTCAGAACGGTTAAGAAATATACTTTACTTTATAAACTTACGTTTTATTTATAACCGTACAATATGTTATTGATATTTTATCTGAAATTTAATGCAAAATATTATGAACTCGACTATTTATTGATACTATGAACATTGCTTTGAATAGAAATATTATTTTATGTGTTCATATTGGTTCATGAATTCGGTATAACTAATAAAATATAACATGTATTTTTGCGCGTTTTATCCTAGTTCGATTCTTAGATATCACCGTTTACATTAATACTTGTAATTTAAATAGGTGATAAAATGGTTTTTGCGTGAAGCATAAATGTTTTATTTGCGTTACAAAAGCCAACAGCATAAATATATGCATAACACTCGCACTGAAATTGTATAATTACAAATTTATTGTAAGCTATATTTCAAAACTGCATCATGTATCAAATTAAAGAAAAATAAATAAATAAATTATAGTAATAAGCATAGGCACAATTTGGGGGGGGGGCTTGAATGTGCTTAGCACCCTCATTTTCGAAATTAGCACTCCCAAATGTGTTTATGATAATTTACATTTAAATACTCATTACTCATTATGTATAAAAAAACATAATAGTTTTTGAGTTTTTTTTGTATAAATATATACATTTTTTACAATACAAAAATATTTCACAATACGAAAAAAACATATCTTTGCTATAGGGCAAAAGTTTCAAGTTCCTAGCCATATTACTTTTGGAATTATGACAAAATAACTAAAATTTGAAATGTGAAAGTCTTATTTACAGCATATTTTTACCATTTCAAGACAGTTTTTTCCTCACGTCTAGAAAAACTATTATGATTTAAAAAATGACCTATCTAAAGTACCAATTTAATATCTAAAAAAGTCCTAGAAAAAACTTTTAGGCCAGTATTTCTATCCGAAAAAGTGTAAAACAAACAAACAAACTTCATTATTAAACCATAATATTCTTCGCTTCAGCCAGAATCTAAAAGTGATCATGTGATAAAACATTTGTGTGTTTACGAACAGGTAATTCGTGATTCGCCCAATTAAAATATAAAATTAAAGTGAACAATTTAAATTTAGAAATATTCATATATTTACCAAATATTTTAGAAACTGTTGAATTGTACGATTTGCAGGTGTCTATAACCATTAAGGAACATGAAAAAGATAGAAGGGCTTCAGCACCCCCAGTTTTTTCATTGAAATTGCGCCCCAGGTAATAAGTATAACTTGCAATGCTTCCAGTAGCGTTTGATTTGAAAATTATATATACTCTTAATTTAGTAGGTATTCCGTGAATATACGATTAACTTATGTTCCGTAAGATTTTAAAAACATATTACAATATCATACCGTATGATTCATAAATACATGAAATTAGCAACAAAACTGTTGTCCATCACCAAATAATGATATATATTACGTGTTTTTGATGTCCATGACCAGTGTTACGACTTATCTAGGTAATCATCTTGATAAAAATATTAACTATCTATTGTTTTGTCTTGATTGAAATATACATTTTTTCTATTTGTTTACTTTCGATGAAAACTTTAGTTATTACATGTTGATTTATCTAGATTTTATTTTTATTTTGTTTTTATGTATAATATTTAATAAATATTTTATGTGCTTCGGGAACTCGGGGATTTGGCCACGGATTGTCTGGGTAGCTGGGAAAAAAATATTCAATAATTAAATTATGTAGATGCGATTAATACGATTGAAAGAGTAACCATACCTTTTCTTTAAGTTCGACCATCATGTATAACCCCAATGAGTATTGACCAAATTTAGATATAATTTATTTCAGATATATATAATATATACAAGTTATAAATTATAAAATGCAACTGTGGGCTTAATTAAGAATAACCACATATAATACCTAGAATTAAAGCTTTTTTGGGCACCTAATAGATAACAACGAACAACTATGAATACTTGGCCTCGCATCTTCTGCTTTCTAGTGAAAACTATTAAAATCTTCTTTTGAAAATAATTCCCTTAACCCACAGAGCAGTTTTACTTCCGCTAATTTATGTATCATTTTCAGGTTCAAGACAAATAAAATACTCTAAAATCTAGACACATTTTAAACTCCTCAAATAAATACGAAATATTTTATTTGTGACGGACCTGATATTTTTATAATTATTTTTTTTTTCGACAATTTAATATAAAATCATTGTTTTTTTTATAAACATATCTGTTTTTATCTAGATAAATTACGATTATGATTTATCTTTTATGAAGATACTTTTAGTTAAGCTTATTTTTATCTTTATCAAATTAAATTGTTGGTGTACTATCTTTAGCTATATGAAACAGTATTAATCTGAGCTCAAAATTGTACGTAACCATTGTAATTATTATTTCCGAGTAAGATGTCTATTCAAATATATATTATTATTGTTTTCGGGGCGTTTTCAGGAGTTCTTTCTTGTTTTTTATTTTCCTTACGGATGTTCGCGTGAATATGACGAAATTTTATAAAATACGCGTGCCAACAGTGAAGTCCTATAAAACGTACCGCCGAGAAAAACGCTGACGCGAGTGAAATGTGTTTTCGCGTCATCAAGACGGTATAGCGTAGATGTGTTAAACGTACCTACCCCACGGTCACCGAGCTTCAATTTTTGTACGACGCACGAACACCATCACGTCGTACACGTGAGAATGTCACCGTCTGAGAAAACTACGGTTCGTAAATAGCTTTCAGTAAAACTTACTCGGTAATGGCATGTGGTCGGTGTACACCTACGTGGCCTTGTGTCCTCCGAACGCGAATTACAAACTTCCCCTCAAACGCCTCCACCCTCGATGTGTGCACTAGCCCGATCGTCCTAACACTGGGTCCCTTGGCGGGGACAATACGAAAAAACAGGAAAAAAAAAAAGGAAAAAAAAAGGGAGAAAAAAGTTTTCCTATATACTCTTGCTTTTAGAAAGGCGAAGCTTTCATGTGCATCACGGAGTTGTAACACCTTTGAACACTATAACAACCGTAGCATATTTACATAACATATAATGATATTTTACGTGTAAATTGAACATCAAAACGTCAACCGGGACAACGTGAAAACGTCTTCTTTTCGCGTCAAGACTGCGTGATGCAAAATGAATATGGAATATGTGCGTCATAAAAATGATTTTCATGATTTATCCGTCAATTAAACAAATTAAACCATGCATAGTAATCGCAAGAAATATTTATTTCAAATACAATTCGAATGAGATATCATTGTGGTTTAAGGCTTCCGAGTCGGTTTAACATATTCATAAACGTTGTGCAATTATTAGAGTTTACCAATACACATATTCAAAAGTACAGGAAAGTTTTTTGTACCTATTTAATTTTTATTAACTATTTTTACTGTAATTTTCTACTCGAATTTGAACTTTAACCACACTATAATTTACAGTAATCGTTTGTTAACCTAACCTAACCTATATAGATATTCGGAAAACCAAATTAACTGAATTATATTATAATATCATTTTATTCTTTATAATTTAATTAAATTACACTATTATAATATTATTATGAATTAAAAATAATTTGTTATTTGACCTAGCAGTTTCAGACACTGTAGAAGAGCAATAAAATTTCATGATTTGTTTTAATTACTCTGTGTGTATATATATATTATCATTGTAGTTACGATCATCTCAGTAAAAAGTTAAATAATTTACAAAAATTAAGTTTTGTCATTTAAATTTAACATAAAACTCGCAGCTTAAGAAAACACTATTATACTGGAATAACTTTAACATGGTGAATTCAAATGGACTATGGAAGTATTACTTGGATGATATAATTATATATCTTACTAAATGATCGTTATGAGCAAATACTAAATATTACATTTAATGCATTTTTATATTCCTATAGTAATTACATGCCATAAATTCATTTTCATCAATCATACTTAAATAAATAAAGTTAAAATTTTTACTTTGGGTTCAAGTTTTGAATTTTGAAATGCAAGTAGATATATATTAAAAAACATATGCTTTTAAATATTACTATACATTTAAATTAATTAATTTAGTTATACAATTATAGAAATTTATCCCACAAAAATTAAAAAATATTATTTTAATAATACGCGCATAATAATTCTGTAAATCATTTTTAGTTAGCAGGTACTTAATTTATGTTTTGCATACTTTTATCTTATCAAATTTGTCGAATATTTTCGTCAATAATTGAACCCAGACTGACAGACTTATGACTGTAGTTTGAAATGTAAATTTGATAATAGTAAACGCACTATATAAACGTGTTCAATTTTAAATATAATTTTATATAATATACAATTTTCAAAATTTCCAAGTTCAAAATTACCATATTTTCGAAAATGAATTAAACTGTATATAAATAAAGTGAGGTTCGTAAAACCTTATAATAATTTAATTTTTTGCCAATATTGTAATGATCTAGTCGTAGTAGAAAAATTAATCGTCATTTTAAATCATTTTCAAACAAAAAATATTCGAAAAAATCCTACTTCTAAAAAAACATTTAATCGATCTATAGTCAATTTCAAATGAAAATTAATCAGCATTTTTAAGAGCTTTATTCAGTTTTGATTGTTAAATATATCATTGTATAAATTATAAAATATCAATTTCAGGTTTTTTTTTTTTTTTTTAAATATACTCATCTACGTATATCTGATAAAATTACTATCAAAAATAATTATGAAATAAAATTTTAAAATTTTACATCAGATGTTGTAAAAATAAAAAACAGAAAGACAAAGGATATTAATTTATATGATACATATTTTTATCGATGAAACTACTGATCCAATAGGCAACTATTCTGCAAGATTTATCGTTAGAAAATCGTTAGATGTTGGTTCACCTTCAAAATATTACATTTTGGCATCAAAACGTTACGAAAAAATAAAATCGGAGCCCATGTAAGAGAGATCCATGAAGTCAGTTGACAATTGATGTTTGTTGAAAAATTGGACTCTTGAAGATTTCTTACATTTTTTAAGTGTGCCACTGACAGGTTGAAATTAAAACTAGACTGTCACAAATGCCTCAGTTGCCACCCTCCAAATAACGCAACTATTTTAATTGTATTTAGTAAGTAAAACGGAAAACTCTAAAAAATAAAATAAATGTTAATGTTTTCTATAATAATTATGAATAAGCGAATATTATTTGATTGTATTTTGTTTATTATTTTCAACGTATACATTTATAATCCAGTTTCAGCCCTTATATCTGGTTTCTTGGAATATCTTGATTCACAGTTCTCTAAATGTGAATTCACCACCGAAACAAACAATAAAACTATAGTGAAATTTGTAAATCATTGTCTCGGAGTATAATGGCCGGAAGGAGAAAACGATGAAAAAGTGTTGTTAATTTTATCTGATACAACCCCATATATGATAAAGGCTACCCAACATTTTAAAACATTTTTATTCCAATCATATTCAAGTAATATGTACTGCTCATGGAATTCATCACATTATGGAAAAGATTACGGTAGTTTTTTTTTTTATAAAATAAACGATTTAATTTACAACAAAAAAAAACATAGTTTTAAAATCTTCTTATAGAATTCAATTACATAATGAAATTTACTTTAGGAACCATTACCGCCTCAACCTGTAACAAAACAATGGGGGGGAACTCGGTAAGAATCGACAATATTTTATGCAGATCAATTTTAATATTATAAAAATGTAATTCAAAATCCACAAGATGATGTCAATAACATCAAAAACTGTAAACAAGTTCTAACTAAACCGGGTATAATTAATAATTTGACTTATATCAATATACATTTTTCGATTATTTTTGAAGGTATTAAAAAACTTCAAATTTTAAGTCTGCTACTTATAGATAATTTAGAAACTTTTGAAGAAGTTACAAATGATTTTAATAATCTTTCTGAAAATTAATATAGCATGCTAATGTTAATTTTAAAAGAAATTTCTAATATACTTCACGGAGAGAACATTGACTTCAAGAGATCTGCTATTTAACATTTTTCCCTAGAAATGTTATCGAGCTTAAAATATGCATACTTAATAAACCATAATGGGAAATTAAATTGTTCAGCGTACAAATACATTTTTACAATCCGTCATTAATATTTAACCGAGAAATATATGGAACATATTATTGTTAATAATTGTTTTTCCTATAACGAAAAAAAATAATTGTATATTTTTTCGACACTATCATAATAAATATTGTATAAAGTATTGTTGTTTATTGATACAATCATTTTTTAACTAACTTTTTATAACTAAATAATAAATTAATAAATAAATTGCTGTAATAATTAAAAATTATTTTCCATATTTTCTGCTTTTTAATTGCATATTTTACAATATGAAGTGTGTAAAAATCTGGTCTTTGTAATATTTAAGCTTCTAAATTGTTTTATGTATGTTTTATTTAATCACATTGCTATAACGTTCAAAAGAAAAAGCAAAATTAATTAATTTAAAAATATTCCTGCTCTTCAGATCATAACTTAAAAATTATATTAGTAATGATGACTTATAATATTTTTTTTCAGATGTAATTTGTATAATGTGTTATTTATTTTTGCATTTTTATAATTGTTTGTTTCAATGCATATTATTTTAAATATTTTAAATATTTTAAATACGCAGGTAATTAACAATACTCATGAAAACAATTCTGCACTATTAACACTAATAATCAAAGAACCATGATTCACATTTATTTTTGATAAAATATCAAGGTAAAATAGTTTATACTTCAAATTTTAACACTATCGGTTTGACTTACAAGTTTTTAGTTCATCACATTCAATACAATATTGGTACAATTTTATTGCTAACGCCCTCAACGATGCCGGTGATTATTGTTTGATCCGTATTCGCGATTAAATAAAAATAAAAATGATAGTATGGTCAATCTAATAGTTTTTTTTTTTTTTTTTTAATTAATATAATTTCCACATTTCGGCAGATCACACGACCTAATGGTGATAATAGTGGCTAACAACTAATGGTGATATGGCTCGTGGCACACGTAACGCGACACACAACTGTACAAACTGTGCATGAAGATAATGCTGACCTGTCAAACATCATCGGTACTTATAAGCTATAATTTTAATTTAATTTCATAGTTGAAGTATATAAAAAGTATTTAAAAATCCATCTAGCGTGATTCTATAAAAGTAAATTCAATAAAAGTAAAAAATAAATTTACCATAACCTAACCTGTAATCTGCGTACGGGAACACAATCTAAAAATAATATATATGTCTTTTGCGAAACCTTACGTTTATAAGGTGTTATTTATTTTCTCAGATTTATATCCACAATATATATAACTAACCTTATATCCATTTAAACGCATTGATAACGTTCTATCACACTAACAGCTATTGTGCTTTTTCTTTGCTTTTTACAACCATACGTGTACGAATAGATCTTTAATTTTATGTGACAAATATTTGCGAGATTCACGCGGAATATATCGCATTTAAATCGAATAATACAATTTTGTTTTTGAACGTGTAAGCAAACTGCTTCCGTGTATTGAAATCACTGTCAGCACACCGAGTTTAGCAGAAAAATATGGATTCACGTTGATAAAACATCCTAACAATGGAACAGTGCTTTGCTGAATAAAAGATAAAATACACTGGGAGTGTATTATGTATTTGTATGGCTGTGACATCAATGTTCCTTCAACAATATTTCGCACAATCGTCCAACAAGACATGATACGTACTCGTTATTTTCTATGTACGCAGTACATCACACTTGCACGAGTACAAAAGATGAATAATTTACGAACTCTTAAGGGGTTATGACATAAATACCTCGCACGTTGTAAATAATGAGCCCATAGACTGCAATAATAGTTATTTCAATGCGGACCGCAAGAAAAAAATAAAAAACCATATCATATTGTATCCGTAATATCAGCTATGGTGATTTATAAAATTTATAAATTTTTAACCACACTTTACACACATACTGAATTTATAGATACGTTTATGCCAGATTTTATTCATCATACAAAACTATAGATTCTACAGGTCACATT